GTTAATAGAAATGCAGTTTTTTGTAGGCTGGGAAGGTGAATAAAGCTGGGGAACATTTTGGTGACCATTTCAAATAACTGATCTCTTTCGGTGCTATAATGAGAGCAATGACAAATAAAGTGCATTTCATCCTCCACTGCGTTTCCTGTACAATATTTACATATTCTGTCGTTAACAGGTAATTGTTTGTATCTACCCTTTTCTATTTCTAATGTATGAGCGCTAACTATAAGCTTACATATGGCTGATCTAACATCGAAGTCTTTGATGTGAAGATAACGTTCCATTGTGTACACAGGTTTCAGATGTCTATAAAATCTTAGCTTACCGACATCAACAGAGAGATTGTAAAGAAAGGTTTGGATATACCTGTCAGAGAGTCTACTTCTAAGTAATGTACATATGTGTTGCTTATCGAGATCGATGTTGTCGTTATGCCAGATATATGAGAAACCACTGCGGTCAAGTATTTCTTTCACATGGTGTAGCACATTTTTCTTGTGACCAAGCATTAACATATGTTTTTGAGATAGTAAAGCGTCGACTTGTAGGGGATGTGTATTAGCGTCTAGTTGCCTCAGTCTTAACCAATACTTGACTAGGCGTACAGATACGTCTGTGTCTAGTGACAGTCTACCGAGCTCTGCTTTGCATGCTCCGTTGCTAGCGTTTCTGTGTACCCCAAGAATGTTTTTACAGAAGCGATTATGGATAGTTTCAATAGGACAGTTGTCATTTGAGAAATCTTTTCCCCAGATTTCGCAACCATATAACATTATAGATTTGATGCAAACGTCGAAAATCCTTAGTAAAGCTTTTAATGAGATTTGAGAGCGGATAAGAGATTTGATGCTAAAAACAGCTTTGCGAGCTTTTAAAGCAAGTTGTTTCTTAGCTAGTGAGAAACTGCCAGATGAGGACAACAACAGACCTAGATAGGAGTATGACGTAGAAATTTCTATATTTTCTGAACCGAGCAGGAATTTTGTATTTCTGTATATGCGCCCTGTTTTGTTAAAAATTACAATTTTGGTCTTTTTCAGGTTAACTTGGAGTTTCCATTTTGTACAGAAAGTGTTTAGTTTGTCAAGAGCACATTGGAGTCCTTTCTCGGTTTCCGAGAAAATTACGACATCATCTGCATAGAGCAAGCAGGAAATGAATAAATTATGTAGGGAGGGTGGAACGCATTCTGGACTATCTAACATCTTGACTAAATCATTTATGAACAGGTTAAATAGGGTCGGGCTGAGGTTACAGCCCTGCCTCACTCCTTTGTCCGTGACGAAGGGTGGTGTTAGACCAGAGGAGGTTTTGATGCATGTTTGCGGGTTAGAATACCTTGATTTTATAAGACTGTAACATTTGCCGCCTACTCCCGAGGTGAGTAGTTTGTATCGCAGACCTTCGCGCCATACACAATCGAAGGCTTTTTTAAAGTCGACGAAACAGGCATAAAGACGTTTGTTATGAGATCCAGAAAATTGAGATAAATAAAAGCGCGGACGCCATTGTGCCAAGCGCCACCGCATGTCTAAATTTCAAGCTTACACATGGCGTTACCGGTGGTGGCCTGCCTTGGGCTGAATTCCAACGATGTTCTGGACCCAGTTTGCATAAACTTATGATCGTGTCACGGTGATCGTGTTATCTTTCTGTTCAAGGCGATTTACGGTAGGCTGTTTGACGATATCCAAGGTAGCGCTACCGCCTGTATGCCCCCCTCCCCCATGGCCAATCCTGCACGCCTTCCGTCTTCACATTTTATGCTCAATTTTCCGGTCCAATCTCGATAAAACGAGTTTCGGAACACTTATTTTCTTTTTAGAGAGGTTATATGGGTAAAATTGTATAAAAACTTTTACCAGTATATGTTTTGGACGGTATAAAACTTTGATAAAACCATAGCCGTTTTTCTGGAAAACAGACCGATATGCGTTGCACATCTTTGTGTCACCGCAAGCACATAGGGTTTTCTAACTGCAATCCTCACGACGCAGGTCCACGACGAACTTACCGATTTAAATAACGATTTATGTACATGCAGTGAGTACACCAAAATTTTTAGTAAATATTTTGTGTGGTAGGATACATGGTGGCGGGGTAGGGTTTTGTGCATGCAAAAATATTTATGCCAGTGCAATCAAGACACCTGTTTTGAACTTAAATCCATGTAGTATCACTTTTAGTTCAATTTTTTCTCTCTTCTTCTTTTTACAGTGCTACTTTCCCGAGATCGTCATGAAGTTGTTTGCAGTATTGAAGTGCAGTGATTCAACATACCATCTAGACAAACAAATAGAAGTCGGAGACATGCCAAAAACATGGTACCAAAAATGGACTAGGCTGTTGCGACTCACCCCCCCCCCACACACACACCTTTTCAACTTCTCATTTACCAATTAGAAGAAAAAAAAACTGATGCTAGGAGAGGATGTAATAAACTAATGAACAGAGGGCTAAAAACAGCTACTTTCAAAATATACATCAGTGGCAAGCAACATTACATATTTCACTATTCTTTAACATAAAGTGTGTAAAATGTAAACATTCTTTAATTTATTTTCCTACTTACACACCGCATGGATTATCTGTCCTTACATGCATTTGGAAGTATTTAATATGGTTTACATGTGTTGAAATCAGTAGAACAGTACAAGAGGACGTGCCTCTGTAGGTTAAGACATGCCACAAACCCACACTTGGGCAAATGTGTCATGTATGTCCCTTAGCCAACAAGTTAAACCTGAATCTTTGTTTTATTATCAAGTCTAGTACCTTTACCCATGCAGATATATTATATACTGATTTCGCACTTAGAGAAATAACATCCGTAGACGGTTTGTAAAACATACGACCATCATACCATTGGCCTAAAAATGCAAATATTAAGTGCCCACTGAACATAACAATTGCCCCAACCAGCTAATTCTAGATAGTTTTCGTGCGGATAATTTTTACAGCAGGATTACAAAATTATACAGAATTTCTTCGAAATCTTTTGTAAATAGTCCCCCGGACTTATTCACAGATTCAACATTTTAAGGTGAAACGAATTATTGTTTTCCAACCAGCACTCAGACATGTTGCATTTATTGTACTTGTAGTTCCCTGGTTACATCATTGAAAAACACGTGACAACTGGAGAAAATCGATAATCGTGTGACACCTGTAGACTTTCTCGCCCGTCTAACGTCCGCCATTTTACGCCATCGCCTGCTGTTGGCTGCCTTGCTTGCCGTAGTACCATTCCACAGATCACTAGTTATTGAGATTAAAGCATGGACCAAACGGTCACCACTGTTTTAAAAGGACTAAGGTGAGTTCTCCTACTGTCACTGTTGAGCAAAAATTTGATAAAAAAAATTCCCAACAGCTTCTAAAAGCTTTTAGTACATCAGGGCGGTCACAAGCTAACCGTGCCATTGTGAAATGTATCGGTGTCAAAGTCCGCCACGCCCCTATGCTTGTGTAACATTCTGATAGACAAAACTAGGCCTTTTAACTATTAGATTCGTAATTTGAAGAAAATACGCCTTATACTAAGGAGTATCTTTATTATAACTAATGTAAAGCTATTTTTCAAGCAAGTTTAGCCTAGCAACAATCTGACCTATGGATAATTTATGCAAATTAAATTACGCTTACCTGTCACGTTTTCAGATATTGACTGCCATTCGAATGTTTCAGACTCAAAGAGACCACTAACATAAAACCTACTCACCTACCTATCTCTAGATATGAAAAGTGAGTTCTGCTTTATCTAATCGTGTCCGCCATTTTGAATCCAGGTAGAGTTGCCCCCCTCCCCCTCCAGCCCCACCATGTCTGAACTGTCCTCCCGCGCCAGGCTGTACCAGAACATCAATGACAGCCTCTGTGAAGATGACGTCAGGAGTCTAAGAGCCATACTGGTCACAGACAAGCACCTCGGACAGGCGAGAGTAGAAAACGCTTCACCGATCAGGAAATGTTTAACATGTTAGAAGACGACAGCAAGATTGGCGAGGATAACCTAGCGCTACTTGTGGAGCTGTTAAAAGCCCTTGGCAAGACAAGGTTAGCTCAAGAAGCCGAGGACGTGATAAAGGCCGATGAGGGTAGGTTAAGATCTGTCTGAAATTAGCTATTGTCTAGTCTTAGACTATTTTGAAACGTTAGTTATTGATGATGCAATGCTTGAGTGGACTTTAAAACATTGTAAACATGACATGTCACCTGCCCGGCCATTGACTAAAAATAGAAGTGACGAGGCTTGTTTGACCATTCAAGCCTTACTAATAAAAGTGCGTCACAATTGCTATATTCAGGTTTAAATTGAAAGGTCGAAAATTTTAAATTGAAATAGTAGAAAATGTTAAGAAACTCCCTAACTGTGAGCATTCCCTCTAACAACAGCACAGTCGAAGTGTAGGTAGCCCAGCATGTACAATGTTCCCAAAAGAATAATAGACATTAGTCAAGACCTTCATGCTAATTTTATACATTTCAGGAGGAGCAGTCGCTTCGGAGAAACCTGTTGCAACTACAAAAGCAACATCAGACATAAAAGCCGACAACGAGGGGAAAGGTGATGCGTTAGTAGGTATGTTAACCAGGCATTCAAGTACTTCAATAACGTTGCAGGTTACCTAAACCTTTTACCTTCTGGAAAAAAGATCCTATAGCTTATCAAATTTTAATGATGCTTGTTTAAGTCTAGCCACCACCAATATTAGTCTAGCCAATACTAATATAAGTTGCAATACATTTCAAATATCATAATTGATATACGTTTATTTGGGTTTTAATGTTGGCATTCCATTTTTTTAAATACATAATTAGTAGCTAATGTTTTTTTTTTTAGAATAGCACATCAGATGTTTTCATCGGGAGCTTACGTATTAGGATAGTAAAAGGATCAAAACGGTATATAATTTATATTATAATGTCAATAGGCCAAATAGTCTATATTATATCACAAAAAGTGAGACTAAAAATATAGTACTGCTCGACTTTGGTCTATAAAGTACTTAGACCTGCATGCATGTATCCGTTTGGGTGTCAGTTAATGTTAAGCTGTAAATCATTTATTACAGCAACACCAGGCAATGTTGATGACATCGTTGTCTGTCTGAAGGACCTGTATGCTACAGAGTATGCACATGTGCGACCTCTGCCGTGGTGCGAAGACTTCAACATGGACGTGGGAGAAATCTACACTAACCTGCAACTACAGCGCAGGGACGGCAGAGGGCGCTTCGAAGACACTGATACCATCGTAAGCTTAGCAGATATTTACAAGACTGTAGATGTTTGTGCTAAGTCAGCTGTTAGGAAGATAAGAGTAGAGGGGCCTCCGGGAATTGGGAAGTCGTGCTCTTGTCAGAAACTAGCCCATGATTGGTCGTCTGGAAAATTGCATTGTTTCAAATCCGTATTCTTCCTGGAAATGCGGCACTTGTCTGGAAAAGTTAAAGACGCCATATTTGAACAGCTCTTACCAAAGGATATAAAAATGACCACTGAGCAGCTCTGGTCTTACATTGAAGAGAATCAGAAGGAGGTTCTCTTTATTCTGGACGGTCTGGATGAGCTCAGTCAGACAGCCAGACAGAGTACAGATGTAGTGGACTTGATACAAGGTAAAATCCTCAGAAACTCTCATGTCCTGGTGACCTCCAGACCGTACCACTGTGTTCAAGACATTGAGAAATGCCATAGCTTTTACAAAATTGTAGGATACAGCAAAAAGAACTCAGTTAGATTCATTCGTAAGTACTTCAGCGAGGCGCCCGAATCTGCCACAAAGCTTGTGGAAGCTGTAACAAATAACAGCAATCTAGGAGAAATCGCAGTTAATCCACTTAACAATGTACTCATTTGTGTTGTGTTCGAAGAAAATGGAGACAATCTGCCTTCTGGAAAAGCTGAGCTATATCAAATGATCATATATTCAGTTGCCAAGAGATATTGTACAAAGAATGGCATTCCTATCAAAGGCCGCACATTGCCTTCTAACATAGAAGAAGCATTACGAGGTCTGGGGAAACTGTCCTGGGAGGGGCTAAAGAAGGATCAGCTACAGTTTAACATAGATGATATCAGACAGGAGTTTGGAGGGAGTGTAGATGACATGTTAAACATGGGCTTGCTGACAAGAGATTATTCTTCCTCCAAAATCAGGCGCATTTGCTACTGCGCTTTCCTACACAAAACCTTCCAGGAGTACGTGGCTGCTTACTACATCAGTTACTTAGTCGGGGATGGCGGTAGACAAGAAGAGGGAATAAAATATATCCGTGTTTTGTTCGGCGTTGACAGGGGTATTGAAGAAAGCCTTAAAAAGTACAGAGGGGTTCAAACCTTTTTGCCCGCTATGCTAGGTGAAAGCTCAGGAACACTGTTTCAAATGTTTGCAGAGGAACTGAGGATAGATAGGTGGACATCGGATTTTGAGGGCGGACTACTGTTGCAGTTTCTCTGTCTCATGGCACTTGGAAGATGTCAAGAAAATGATACCTCGGCAGAGGTTGTCGCACCTTGCTTGCCTCCAGACATAACAAACAATCATTATCATTTTTCGGCCACTGAACAGTCTGACTGGTTTGATGGTTTCTTACAGGTACTCAGCTGTCAAAAGAAACTTGCTATGTGTCACAACCCAAATCTAGTACAACACCTTACGATTAACTGTATTTACATTGAGAATGCTTTACATCAACACCAGCTGGATAAGTTGGAGAGAGTGTTATCAGATTGTTCCACGTTATGTTCTGTGACACTGCACTCTATATCTTTGGGTATTCCGGATGATACCCCACTCGAAATTAAACGGCTTTTCACATCTGAGGGGCACGAAATTCCTGTAGTTCGAACGTTCATTCCTCGGCGTGGGGTACAAAGTGTTTCAATAGAGTTTCCAGTTAGCAATACCATGCTGGAAGACCTGTCAAACGTGCACAAGCTAGAACACATCTACATTGACGTAGGGAGGATAAATAATGACACAGCTGTTGAGAAATACGACAAGGTGTTGGCTAAAATGGTTAGGAAGCAGAGTTGTCTCAAATCGTTGGTGGTATATATAGGTGGGTGGGAGGAATCACCAATAGAAACCAGACTGGTTGACAACCTAACAGAAACTCTGCAGAGTATTTCTGAGCATCCAGCACTTGGATACGTGGTTTTAGATCACAAAGCGCTATTGGACAAAGTGGACCTTACCTCCCCTCCCTCTGCCGACGGATTCGATCATGAGACAGTCCAGGAATATGTGTACACAGTAGATGTCAATGTAGTCGGTGATCATGAGGCAGTCCAAGCATATGCGAATGTAGTAGATGTCAACGCAGGGGTACAAAAGCTCACAGAATGTATTAATAAGAGCAGGACAATAAAGAGACTTGAAGTAAGCTGGCAATACCTTATCTACAATGCTATCTGTAGCAGTCAGTCCCTTTCCGATCTCTGTTCGGCAATACAAAGTAACAGAACCATACAGAATTTGAGTATCAGTAACATGTTTTCTGAGTCGGAGGGCCATCAAGAATTGATTGACCAGCTAATGAAAAATAAACCCGCCAACTTTGAGGGACTCGAAATTACCATGTATAAAAAGAAATACATTGAAGCACCTTTTGAATTCGAACTCTTTTAATCGAATTTGAAGTGATCGTTGCGAAAGTAATAATATACTCAGCAAAGTATTAGAACATTTTGACGTCAGTAATAACCAATACGGCCTGTAGGTCAAGAGCAGCTGTACTAAATGTAATTTCAGTAATTTACCTCAATGAAATTCTCTAAAATAAATTTGCACCGAGAGTTTTTTGCAGATGAGATTCTTTTGGTCACAGAGCCCTCTTCCTATAATATCTGTAAGGGAACAGGGTGGACTTAACAGAAAAACGCTTGACTTGTAAAATATTTCATGAACAAACCATAGAATTTAGTAAAAGGAAATGCAGCACTGTAAGTCTACATGACGTCTGATGAGAGCACGATTCCCTGTCGTCTTTGTAGATTCAAAATTTGTAATGTTACCTGTAAAAATATCTATTGCAATGGTTCATTCTGTCTTGTAAGACTAATTATAAGGGTTCTTTTAATATGTTATGTGAATTGACAATTATTGTTGTACTATGTTTTGTATAGCCTGTACATTTTATTAAGTTGAGAAACAACAGAACTACTTGTCACAAAATCGTAGACTTTGAAAGATAAACGTAATTTGAGCAACCAATCTGTATGATAATAATACTTTAAAGAATTACAATTTTATCATATCATTTATAAGTACGAGTCCATGTATAGAAAGTAGACACGTACAGGTTTGTATATAGCATTTGATATCTAGTTTTGTTACCAGTTGAATGTGTTCTAAAATGCAGATAAGACAACTTAAATACAATATCAAGAATACGTAAAAAATAAACCAATGACTATGAGACACGAGCACGTATGTTATTAATTACTAATATGCACATTGCTGCTTCACTTGTACTAAGTGGGTTTGAATAGGTTCTTTGTATGATGTTAATACACGTGACAGTATATCATAAATACCTACAAGAATTTATATTTTTACTGGTGGCGGTTTTTTGTTGCCTTTATTATATTCTGTCTACTAATAATGTGTGGCCATTGGGTAGCATAAGGATAATTTGTTTTTAGTTCCTCTCAAAGCAGTTATTCTGACAAAAATTTTGTCTGAAAACAGACAAACATTCAAACACACGGCTATTCAATAAACAAACATGTGATCCATGCATCACATATCTGTCTGATTTTTCAATCTTATTCAAATGCCTATTATCCCTTAGTGACACTTGAGTGTAGTTGGAGACTTCAGGTTTTATTATCCGTAACATATCTACTTGATGTGATCTAATAAGAACTACTTAAGCTTGGTATGAAATATGCCGACTTTCTGTTACACAGTTATAGAAAACACTGTCACATTTAACGTGACTTACGTCATTTCCCAACAGAAAAAAAACGTTTATCATGTTTCAAACTGATGGTTACATCTACCAATTCGTTGGAAAAAGTAATAGTATAGATCCGTGATTGGTAATTCTTTAACTAAAGTACTATGCTGAACTTTATTCTTTCACAACATTGTCATCATCTTCAGGATAAGAATAACCAATCACTTTCTGACCAGTTAACGTTCTGGAGCGATTAGTCATTTCTTATTCTGATGAAGGCGACAATGGTAGTTGATAATTTGAACCTTGTGCATTGCTTTTGTGCCGGCTACTGTCTCTTTGAAAACACAACCTGAGCTTACAATTACCGGGGCTTAATCGCAAGGGTTTGAGGCGGTGCCCATTCGGCGCTAACTCATTAGAACTCAATATGAATCCGGCTGCGGCCATAGGACTGTACTCACACCGGGAAAGTCCCCTACTTTTTTCCATAAGTGTGTTGGGTTCCTTAATGTACGTGGGTTGTGGCTCTTTCCAAACACGGGGCCTCCATTTAACGTCCTATCCGAGGGACGTCCGTAACCGTAGCTAGGCACTCATCTCTACCCGAGTGAAGTGAGAAAAGTCATGTTGAGTGCCTTTCCTAAGGGCACAAGATCGGTGACATCGGACAGGATTCGAACCCGGGACCACTTGGTTTGCAGTTGAACACTCGACCACAGGACCCCACACGTGTACCCTTGTGTTGGAATAAAGTCCAACACTGTACACTGGTTCCTGTCAGCACAGATAAGCTTCCATGATAATTCATAAATTAGGTTAACGTGGACAAAAGGCGTGCCTTCCCCCGTCCACGGAGACCAGGGCGCCGGTTATGAAGGACGCGTCTGACGAGGCCAGGAAGGCGATAGTTTTCGCAACTTCCGAAACGTCACCAACCCTCCCCAGCGGGTGTGTTGTCTTGTGATGTTCCATGTACTAAAAAGAAAAGAAAACTTGATGAAGTGTTGCTTTGGTTCAATCGGAGTGTTACATTGGTTAAATTGAGCTGCTTGGCTTCTAAACCATATAAATGTATCAGTTTCCATTAGTATATCTTTAATTCCGTTGATTAATTTAAATCATTTCATAATCATCATTTCTAAAGTAAATTAAGATGGAGGCGGGCCTTGAACAAGTTGCATTATTGCCACCTCCGCACATTGTTTTCCTTTATGTGATTTTCTAAATACTAAGTATTCTGCTTATATTTTATTGTTAAAAAACAAAGACAGAAACCTTGGCATGTTTCTCCTCATCATTCAGTCCTGCGCGTCTGAAAATCTCTGTCGTAATCACACCAGGACTGTGGGTTGATACAAAATAATCAAAATTACTAAAATGGTCATATCATGTCAGATCTTGGTCCACACGAACTACAGAAAAAAAAAAACACACCAGCGTCTCGTACAATCAAGAGATCACTGGCTGAATGCTGACTTAAGCTTGACACAAGCAAGATTTAATGTCTTAGCTGAAACTCCAATGTTATTTTGACGTAATGTTTACGGACAGTTTACGAAAGAATGAGCATTACAAAGCCCTTCGTTTTCTTTCAGCCTGAATGCCATGTTTTGGAAGGCTCCAATACGCACCTCCTTAAAACTCGGGTAAACTATAAAGCTTATTTAAAACGTAGGATAGGTTTAAGTACTTAAACATAGTAAATCAAAAGCTCGATGCACATCAGAGAACAAAAAAAAAAACGTACTTGACAGAGTTGACTCTGATTTGCTTCGAAGCTTGCTCTGAAAAAAGCAAAAGTACAAGTGCTATTAGTCTTCATAATATTAGATACGAGTAACGAGTAACATAATATTTTAAGTAATATGTAAAACCTCCATCATTAACACTTGTCCATAATACATGTGTGTTACTAATGTATACAGAAGGAATATTCCGCTATTATCTATTTACGATTCATATTGATGACGTTTTGGAATGTATCTCTATCCACAAACGATGAAATTATGCGGTAACCGTTATAGATGGTTGACGCATATCCAAAACTGGGCCTTGTGAATATCTACGCTTTTTTTCGAAAGGCAAAGACTATGCAGAGCAGTGCATGATTTCAAACTTATCATATACATGCATAGAGCTAGACAGTCACAGTTCTGGATACAATTCATCCGTTGTAGGATACTTTCTAAATCTTCAAATAATATTCTATGATATACCAATATGAGTGTAATTAACTTACCAAGTGCAACACATCTTGTGAACTGGTCCAGTGCTGATTTGCTCATGCAGTATGCAAGACATCCTGAAAACTGGAGAGGAATGCACTAGTTCACGATTTAAACTGCATAGGAACATTGGGATGCATTATGGGTAATAACATATATACATTTTTTGCTAATCCCAAACTGACATTAAGTTTGCTAGAATTCGTTTTCTGGTATAGGAGAAAAAAACTTACCCCTCGTATTCCATTTACACTGGACACATTGACGATTGCCCCTGTGAGGGACAAACTAGACTTTAAACAGTATGTTATACAGGTCTCATGTTTGAGACCCCTGACATGAGACATGTACATTTCCTAAAAACTGAATCAGACTGTTTAACACTATGAATCCATTGAGTTGTTAATACACACATTAATCAGAAACTTTCGTCGTTTGTTTTCATGTACTGGGGTAGATGTTTTGTTTTCAGTTTATGTACTGGGGTAGATGCCGTGTACAACTCGCATTTTAAATTAGCCGAGACAACCAGTTATGTTACTTTGTGTGTAAAACATCTTTACACCACATATCTATGAGGTACTAAATGCCACGTAGGAACATTAAGCTTTGTCAGATGTAAAAAAAACCAGAATCTTATAAACTGCTTCTGTAAGACGTGCCTAAGGTGTGGAAAAGAGAAATTAGAAACCTTTAGTTTTTGTGAGATGTGGAATGCACAGCTGAGTCAACCTGACCACACTGCGAACATTAACGTCCATGATCCTGTCATAGTCCGCCATAGCTGTGGTCTCTAAAGTACCCCGCATGAAACTGCCGGCATTGTTTACCTATTTGAACAGGAGAGAAGTAATCGTATGTGTAAATGGTTTATTTGCAAATTGAACTAAAACAACATTGCAGCCTAATAATACAAAGTATTGTACAAAAAGCTGAATTACGTAGTTTTAGGGAACACACAAAATATCATTGAATGAAGACCTTTATTGTACATTTGTGTTCTACAGAACTAAGTACAGGTCGCATGGGTACAGAACATGAACATAAACATGTACATTACAAATATATGAACATATAAGAGTGTAAATAAATGTCTAATTTCTATTCTTTTCGGCTTCATCTCACTTAGTAGTGATTGTATGGATATATGCGGCTGTGAGATTACTTAGAGTAGGTTAATAAAGTTAAACGTTATCATTAATATTTACAAACTTAACCAAACTAAATAACAAGAATATATACAATTGGTAGTTGGGTGATTACACGGTAGACTAAGCACTGTTTAAGATTTTAGACAGCACTGTTCCTGTACCTTTCAGATCTTATAGATAGTAGGCTACGCCGGAACGTTAACCCCCTTTTAAGTCCCTATTATGTACTTCATTGCGAGTGGGAGTAGCCAGGGTCTAAACGTTGATGAATTCCACAAAGATTTTGCGAACTTAAGGCATAATGAATTGCTTCTGGCTTTTAGAGTGCAGAGGTTAAAAGTAGAGAGGAGAGAGCATCCGTATAGGAAGTGTACTTATTTGTATGTAGTCAATCTGCCGTTACGCCACCCTGGTATCGTGTGACGTAACGACAGAGAGCTCGACTTGGAACCAAGGGGTCCCGGGTTCGAGTCCTGAAATGCTACCGATCTTGTGACCTTGGTAAAGGCAATTTACTTTCCTCACTTCGCTCAGGTGAAAATGAGTATTGTATTGCCCCCTATGTTGGTGGCGGCATAATATATGTTGAAAAACTAGAGTGTGTTCCCACCACGTCTTGTGATTACATAATGGAATTATATTTTCAACAATCGTATGTAATGTTAATGCACGAAAAAGCTGGCTAAAGGTTTGTATTGTGCACTGTAACAATAATCTCGGCCTCGACAAATGAATTACAGTTACTGCCAAGTGCTAGTTCTCTGAACTTAAAGTTATCAAAATACTGAACAGATCCATCTACGGCAACACGAACCCTGCTACACAATAAACAGTGGTCTCTCCAACATCCGAGATCTTCCTATTCTTGGCATCCGGGACATTTGCTAGTCTCGCACGACAGTTCTACACAAGTGCAGTGTGAGACCGAGGCGATACTAGTACGTTGTGGAGATTTCATGAAATGCACACTTCCCATAATGCCTAGTAAAGATCACGGATATGACCTTGACCACCCCCTCCCCCTTCCTTGATGTAATATTTCCAACAAGTTGTATCGATAAACTGGTCAAGTATATTGTTTTGAAATACTTATCTAGTATAAATGCATAATTGCCATAACTGCATTTTTGTTGGAATTAGAGAAAATGACGTACCTTCTATCGTTCTACCTTCTACCGAAGACTCTCGTACGGTCGCATTACGTATATCCCCTTCTTACGTCATATCCCATCCATATCCGTGATCTTTACTAGGCATTATGGGAAGTGTGAAATTCATGAATACGTCAAAGATAAATCCTTACATAAAAACCAAACACGTCTTAACCAACTTAGGCAATATATTAACATTTAAGTACAGGTGCATCGTTAACGTAGGTACGTATGTTTTGCACCCTCTCGTGCTTTTTATTCTTATAATTGAGTTATAAAGTAAAATGTTACGTAGTTTGACTTCTTAGCTCCGCAAAGTAAAGATCAGTACTTGTGTTAATGTGTAACAACGGCCCGACATTGTGACTATATACTTAGTATGTAGACAAAATATTTTTAGTTTTCAACAGAGAAAATATAAAATTACAAATTATATCAAGCTCGAAGACTATGACGGTCAATATAATAAATCATTTACCAGAACATCGATCCTGCCGAACTTCTGCACAGTTTGATCCACCAGGTTTATTCTTACTTCTTCATCGCAGATGTCTCCTGTTACAAGTAGAATCTGAGGTAAAAAAATAAATGAACAAGAAGTTTTTCTATTAGTTGGTAGTTACATGTTTAGAGTTAAAACTTAAGATCGAACACAAAATGTTCTCCCACCTAGAGCTTTTGACCAGTCACTCTGGTCTTCCTCAGTATAACAGTTTGACACTGTAAGGATTTTGGACACTGAACAGGACTATTTCCTGAGAGGGGTGAAAGAGGCTATATACATCAGGGTCCATTTTCCTTCACTGAACCGCGACGGGGGCCGACATGGTCTACAAGATACCTTTGACCCCGTGTTGACCTCACCCTCAAAGAAAACACGTGACAAGCCTCACTGGGTCAGTCCAGAAGACCAGAGTGACTGGTCGAAAGCTTTAGGTGAGAGAACTTTTTTACCTCCATGAAATGGAAGATATTGTTTTTGGCGCGTCTGTGTGCGTGTGTGTGTGTGTGTGTGTGTGTGTGTGTGTGTGTGTGTGTGTGTGTGTGTGTGTGTGTGTGTGTGTGTGTGTATGTGTGTTTGTGTTTCCGCTTTTTTGTACCTTCATAACTCCATAACGCATTTATGGATTGTGGTGATATTTAATATACTGGTAGGTGTTAGGGGGGCGAAGGTCAAGGTCAAATATGGGCCTCCTGGTGGATGGCCTTGGTACTGCAGCAGCACTTCCGGTTTAATGAGGAGTCTGCCAGACAGGGTAACAGATGTCTGATTGTGTCGAGGCTGCCCCGGGCTTGCGACCTGGTTTGATTAATGAGAGGTTCTTCCTCAGGGAATAAGGCGACCTCTGTGCGCTATGATGTGGAAAATTTGAGTGTTAGGGTGGATGGACACCCAGTGTTGACGTAATTTTGGCACTGAGATCTAGTTACCTCCATGAAAATGGAGGTATTGTTTTTGGCGCGTCTATGTGTGTGTGTGTTTGAGTTTCCGCATATTTGTAGTCAGCATAACTCCATAACGCCTTTATGGATTGTGATGATATTTGGTATGCTGGTAGGTCTTAGGAAGCCAAAGGTCAAGGTCAAATATGGGCCTCCTGGTGGATGACCTTGGTACTGCAGCAGAACTTCCGGTTTTCGTATCTTTTGTCCTGAACATGTTATGGTCTTGATTTTTGGGTGACAGATAGATTGTCCTGCCAGGAATAATTGGTGTGGGTTTGGTCCCCCTAGCAGCTTGTTCTGAAACTGCAGGGGACTTTCGGGGGAAAATCTTTAAAAGCCAATAGGTCCAGACAGGAACAATGTATTTTCATCATTTTTGGTAGGTAGGTAGCTGAGAGAGATGTACATAACTTAATGCAAATTATGCAAATGAGGACTTTATTTGCATAATAAATGAGGAAATTCTCTAATTACAGTGTTTTACATTGTAGTACTTTAATACATGTAATGTATGTAATCTTTGGCAGATGGAACATCAACAGATACCAATAATGCAAATTATGACCTCATTTGCATAATTAATGCGAAAATTCAATGGGTAAATGATGGGAATTTCCTACTTGGTGTAAATTGTAAATTCATCAAAAGTTAACATCACGATACATTAATTATGTTAATGTGGAGGTCATTTGCATAATTAAAGAGGAAATTTACATTTACACGTCAAGCCCATATTTCATGGAGGTATGTGATCTCAGATCTCTTGTTTTGTGTTGGATCTAAAACTTTAACTATAAACAAGAAGTTTTTATGATAGATACAAAATGAATTTCATAAAGACCCGTTACAGGTCGCTTTATTTTACTCGACGGTAAAGCCAAAGAGGAGCAGAAGAAAATGTATGACAATTATGCATATATTACACACTTATACGTCTGCGACCACGTTGTAGATATCGTTCTCTGTATCTTCATTGATAGATACTCTATAGATACCTATAGATCTATAGATTACAACGATAATCTTTTAAAACAGTGTATATTTAAAATACACTGTATAAAAAAATACCTTATCTTCTGGACTCCCTGCCTCCACACAGGCCTTTGCTGTGGCCTGCAGGTTTTCCTGGTTTCTCCCAGTCAGAGCCAGGTGCGCTCCCAGCTGCGCAAATTCTACAGCTGTCCCCTTCCCTATGCCAGAACTAGCACCTGGTGAGTACAAGAGCATTGCAAATTAAAAAGCAAACGTTATAATTTCTTAACTTACTATGTGTCTACCAAATAACTGCCGTTAGATAATTATTTTCGATCATGTTAATGCAAGTGGTATTGTCTTTAGTAATGGTTGAGGTATTTGCCACACCTACTTAATCTTATAAATAACAGCCTCTACCCCGAAAGAAGTGCACGTGCATGGACGTATTAAAAAAAAATATTAGCCAAAAAATATTACTGCTACGCAGGTTTAGCAGTAATATTTATGTGTCATGCCTTTATCAATTATTTTCGATCATGTTAATCGCAATTAGTATAAAGGTTGAGGTTTTTGCCACATCTACTTAATTTTATAAATAACAACCTTTGAAGACCCCGAAACAAGTGCACTTGGGTGTATTAAAAATATGAGCAAAAAAAATATTACTGTTAAACCGCAGGTTTACAAATCTGGTATTGTGAATTTGTGGTAGTTCATAGCAACTATTATGACAGGGCGGCAGGTTAAATATTAACAGTGAATATAGCACGATATGTCAAGGCCACGCCACCTCCCCGGTTAGAGGTCACCTGCCAGATCAATAAACATACGGACTATGCGATCTGCAGCTTAAGCCTCTGTCTTACATAGCCGTAAAAACCTCCTGAACACTTGCCGAACTCCTTCAAACTATAATTATGTAGGAGTAGGTGAGGAGCATGGTCGGCTAGTGTAAGGTCAGCTACTATTCGGCTGCACTGGCCGAATGTTTAAAAATGCTAAACCACATAGATACAAATCTGGTATTGTGAATTTCTGGTAGTTCATAGCAACTATTACGACAAGCCGGCATATGCTGGCCTATTTCTAAGGTCTTTGGCCTGAAGCCTGTACGTTGCCCTGTGGTATGGAGGTTAAATGTTAACAGTGAATATAGGACGATGTATTTTAAGTTTTAAGCAAGGGTGCTAAAACATTCGGGTCTATTTAAGAGGTTTGGCCATGATTAATTTGTGATTGTTTGGTATTCGGGAGTAGTTTGGGGCTTGATTAGTAGTCAAATATGACTAAAACTTAACTCAAATTCAATATGATCCGTAAAGCAAGGTTGGCTTGGACTAACTTTGGTTAGAATGCTACCGAACTTCAGTCCAGCTTGCTCGACTCGTGTTCAGGCCTAGGGGTGAAGTTTCCAATTGTGTAACATTGGCATATAAACTTACCTGTAATTATGGCTACCTTTTCTCTCAAGTCAGGCATCTTTTGGCTGAATATTTTGACTCCATAAAGTTTTAACTTGGTGCAATGATGCCAACAACTTGAAAGTAAAGTAGCGTTCTCTCCTTTCTTCTTGTAGCAAGAGCAAGGTATAAAGTTCAATTATACTGCGTCCATAAAACAAACAATATCAAATCAGGAAACCACCAATTATTTGGTTTGTAAAAAATAGAAACATATTTTTTTTAATTTAAATTTTAGTTGTATTCTAACTTGTAGGTTGAGCAAAGTCGTATCGTTACGAATATGATGTTTTATTCATTGTGTCTTTTTTACACTTAATTGATTTTGTTCATTGCGGTCATTGACCCAACGTTCACGGCTACGCCATGTTCTCCAAGCAGATGTGGATGGTGCAATATTATCACATTTTCTCATAGCTGGCTTCTTTAAATATTGTGTAATTAGACTCAAGTTTACATTTTGCTCAACTGGTTTTGGACAATTATATAATTTTCCTTTTTAACAAACGAAGAGACCAGTTTGTTTAGTTATACAAAATAATAGAGCAAAGAGATAAAGAAAGTGTACCGGTATATAAATTTATTATCAATATAAAAATAGGATAATTAGTTAACATTATTATTGAATTTAATTGTATTTTATTAAACTAAGTGGTTATAGATTGTTAAATTTGCCCATGACTGTTGGTATATCCCGACCGCCTGTCAGATTGAGTCGGCTGCAGTTTAGTTTACCTCCGCTAGGCTCCATTTAAATGAGCGCATCAAAAAGCCAACAAAACCACTGACACCTCTTTTGTCTTCGTTTGTGTTAGAAAAGTATGTAGTAAGTACATTAAAAAAATTAAATCATTATGTTATTTTTTTACACTGAAACCCAGAGTGGTCAATAATTGGTAGCAAGAAAATTCCCATTGTAAAAAAAAACTGCTATCAAAAACATCAGTTGACCTCACACTGTTTACGTTTTTTTTGCACGATCACCACCTGTCACATCTAATTAGAACCACACCTAAGTATCCTAGATACGGCCTATATGATATCTCCCCTGGGTCTACACGACCCTGGTCCGTACATGTATTCGTAATTACTCGGCACTTTGAATTGACATTTTGGCAATTGTATTATTAAAGAAATAAGCATGTATACAGTAATAGACAAATATACACATAAATTATAAACGTACTCACTTACTCTACATGTATTTTAGGCCGTGGCGTTTAAACTAATTATAACTTTCTAGGAAATGCATATGAGCAATAGCATTCTTGATGGTTCGAAGATCGTATGATGCTAACGTTCACTCGACTGTATACTAACATACATTGTCCAAGCCCAACCGACGTCAATCCATAAAAGAACAACATTCCGTCGCCCATTTTGATGCGGTATAGAGAATAGAGCGTGTCTAAATTATGTCATACCAAATGTTAAAGGTAGTATCGGTATACTAACGTCATTGGTATGTCATGACGCTGTTCTACTGAGATGGTTATGATGTGGATTCGCCTGTGTGTTGCTGGGTTGGTTTGCTGTCTTCTGGCTGTCGACATCTACGGCCAAACAGGTACGGATATTGTTAACGGGTTTTTTACACTTAGAATACGGTGTTGATGAAGAACGTGTTGTTGCAGAGGTCCTTACAAGATTTGATACAATTCAATTCAACAAATTCACAGGTAAAGCACTGGGATAAGAACAGTCTATACAAAATATTTTCAAATCAACAGATAAGAGTAAAACGTAGAATAGTTCGACAAGTTAAAAGACCATTACAGTGCAACTGTCGGGCATAATTGTCAGTTTGTGCAAATAGTAAAGAGCAAACGAGTGTCCCACTGCATGTTGTTTAAATGTTCAATCTTACACGGGAGGGCACTGGTCACGTATAATTCTAGTTAAAATCTAATGATTGCAGCCAACCCGTCGCCAGCCAGCTGCAGACGAGTACGACTAAACGGGACAAGCGGGACGTTCACCAGTCCGAACTTCCCTGACGACTATCCCGAGGACCTACAATGTGTGTACGTCATACAAGTCACTCCTCCCAACGTCGTGAAGCTCACGTTTGCGGCGTTTAACGTGGAACAGGATTACGACTTTGTGTACGTGTTTGACGGAGACACTACTGACAAAAGGATTCAGATAGGTAGGTGACTAACTTCCAATTTGGTTTTGAGTTTTATTTAGATCCATAATTAGCCTCATAACTTCTGAGGCTATTCTTCCTGTGGTCTAAACATTCATATTTACATACATGTATTATAAAAGTACAAAACATTACAAAGTAAACATTATGTGGCAAACGTAACACAAGTCTGTGTTGTTCCACAATTGTGACATTCTGTGCAGAAAGCGCCTTTTTTGAGAGTTGGATTTTGGTTTTGGTAGTCTGATTCTGTTTGTACTGGTTGAACGTGTTCGGTAGTTGTGAATCTCAGATTGGAATGTGATTGTGTCGTACATATCAACGGTTTGGTTGCATTTGTCGTATATGTTGTTCAATTTTGAAACAGGCTGTCATAACCATTCATTGGCAATGATCTAATGAATAAGACAACGAGTTTTGGAACAAGAATATATACTGTATGACTACGCACGTCAGTTAAGAATGTCATCAGTTTCTGATTTTATGATAATCGTACGGATGTAACCGAGCGATAACCAAAATAAATAACGTTCGACTTTATTATTCCTTCCTATTACTAAGTTCCTTGCATTTTAACAGTTTGCGTGTTTTTGATAAGACGCCTCAAGATTGGCCGAATTGGCTGACATTGGTAAAATCATACATGTTGAAAACATATAGGTATACATGTAGGCAAATATAGTAGAAAAGGGCAAGGCCTTGGAAAGGAGTATGCTAAACCCTGCTCCTTTTACAACCCCCTCCTCATAATTGAATCCATCGATATCTAATTATGCTAAGGTTGAAATATAAAAATCATGAAGTATTTCTTTCATTTTGTCATTTTCACCTTAGTGATAATGGAATTGTGATAGTGATAATAGTGATAATTGTATTCACAAAAACACTTTATATACAAACTTATGAATTTCATAAAAATAAAGATTTAGTGTCAGTAAAGCTATATCTTCAGTTCACAGTGAACCAATAACACCTAGCTTCAGTACATAGAGGACCAGTAACACCTTAGTAATATCTTGCATCAGAACACTTAGCTAATACAGCCCAATTTAAGTTGTATTTCGTTGTTTCTATCCAAAGGCTAAATCTTCTTTCCGAGCTATACAAAAAGGATAAAACCTGGTAATTGTTTACTAGTACTAACATCTTTGCAATGTCTAGTCACATATATCTGGGGCCATTTTTATGCAACCCTTACAAAATGGCCCATACTGATAATAGAGGTTGACATGTTTACGCCCTGGTGATTATAGTGTATAGGTCTTTGACACCTACGTAACACTTCGGTATATTGACATCTATTATTCATTATGAACACAGGGACATTATTATGTACAAGATCTGTGTTCTGTAGCTGTCACTAGTCATTAAACTATTCATCTATAATGGCACCTGTAGGGTGTAATTCAGGACGTAAAGGCGTCCACTGTGTGTAAGTAATTCATACACGACAACAAAGAAGAAATGTACTGGAACATACAAATAATCCTGCATCAAGCCAAAATTACTCTCCCCTTTGCACACTTAATATACATCAAATGCTACTGTATAAAACTGTGGGTAGCATAACATCTGTTTCCATCACCAGGGTCCATAATATCGCCACCTTGAGAAACAGTGTGCTTAAAGATATTTTTACTGCAACATACTTTTGGTATGCACTCCTTCACACATCAAATGTACATACCTAGATTATGTTGCAGTAAAAATATCTTTAAGCACACTGTTTCTCAAGGTGGCGATATTATGGACCCTGGTGATATTATGGACACAGATGTTACATTTTAACTTTTTTTCTCACTATTGTCTAACAATGGATTTAAAAAAAATGAAAAATTGGCGTGTCGTTATTGCATTACAAGGATAAAGGACACTGAAATGTGCTGTGTTGTCCATATCGCCATGAAGTCTTGCGCATGGAGATCATATTCCATCTGCATTGATAAAATAAACGAAAATCTGTTAAAATTTTAGCAATCTTATGGACAGACAACCATACAAAAAATCAGGTTACACCAAACGATATCTAAGTCATTCTGCTTGACTTGGACTATTGGCTGAACAAAGTACCATATCTGTAAGGCTAGTAACTATTCAGCTCTATTTACCTTTATTTCTTCGGGTATATAACATATGACACACATATTCTATTCAATCGAAAATGTTGATAGTTATCATAATGCATCATAAGTATGTAGCTACTGTATAATGGTAATACAAGATACAAGATCTCTTTATTGGAAATCGCAGTGTTGCCACTGAATTAAAACCAATTTACAATTCAAAATGAAAAGCTGTTACAAACATGGACAAGTTATACAAAAGATAATAGTATGGTAATAGTTTAAATTTTCCACTTTTCCCCCGTTTACAGAACAGTTAACCGGTGATACTATCCCGTCACCAGTCATGTCAACAGGCAGTGTACTCACGGTTCAGTTCATCTCAGACTCTGTGGAAACATACAAGGGTTTCCAGGCTACTTACGCTGCTGTGGATAAAGGTATTTACATATATTTATCATACGAGAACTGAGTAGCCCCTTCTAAACTTATGAAGGTTGATTTTCCATCGTAACAAACAGGTAACATTTAGTGTGTTGGAGACAAAGAGGGCGGCTGGTAGTGCATCCGGTAGTCTGTTTAATCAAAACAAAAATAATTTGATAAACACCAGGTGTTTTACTACAGGGGTACTACTCTTGTATAACTATAAGGGTGTAACTACAAAGGTACAGCTATAGAGGTATAACTACAGAGGTATAACTACAAAGGTATAACTACAGAGGTATAACTACAGAAGTATAGGTACAGCTACAGAGGTATAACTACAGAGGTATAGCTACAGAAATATAGGTACAGTTACAGAGGTATAACTACCGAGGTATAACTACAAAGGTACAGCTACAGAGGTATAACTACAGAGGTATAACTACAGAGGTATAACTTCAGAAGAATAACTACAAAGGTACAGCTACAGAGGTATAACTACAGGGGTATAACCACAGATGAATAACTACGAAGGTACAGCTACAGAGGTATAAGTACAGATGTATAACTACAAAGGTACAGCTACAGAGGTATAACTACAGAGGTATAACTACAGAGGTATAACTACAGAGGTATAACTACAGGGGTATAACTACAAAGGTACAGCTACAGAGGTATAACTACAGAGGTATAACTACAGAGGTATAACTACAGAGGTACGTACGCATACAGCTACAGAGGTATAACTACAGAGGTATAAGTACAGAGGTACAGCTGCAGAGGTATAACTACAGGGGTATAATTTACTACAGAGGTATAACTACAGACAGGGGTATAACTATGGAGGAATATCTACAGGATTCTAAATACAGATAAAAAATTAGGTATAGCGACAGAGGGACTAAAAAACGACAGCGCTATACCATGTAAATATGTGGTAATGACAAAGTAACTAACTAATTTTAACTGATGATTGATAAACTGAAATGAATATTATATATCAACTGAATAAAGTCGAAAGCAATATGATAAAAGAAGCCGTAACTCTTGCCATCATTTCTTACCAACAGTCTACGCGAACTGCACTGTGGGCCAGTTCCTGTGTGCCAGCGGTACGACCTGCATTACGTCATGGCAGCGATGCGACGGCGTGCCGAACTGCAGGGACAGGAGTGACGAGGCCAGCTGTGGTGAGTACAGCGCAATGCATATATTACCTGTACAACTCACTCAGTCAGTCAGTCAGTCACTCACAGTGACTCACTCACTGAGTCAGTCACTCACTTAGTCACTCACTCAGTCAGTCAGTCAGTCACTCACTCAGTCAGTCACTCACTTAGTCACTCACTCAGTCAGTCAGTCAGTCACTCACTCACTCAGTCACTCACTTAGTCACTCAGTCACTCACTCACTCACTCACTCAGTCACTCACTCACTCACTCACTCACTCACTCACTCACTCACTCTCTCCCATAGCTTAGCTGTTTGGCCAAGGTCTTCCATCTGTTAGGCCATGTTGATTTGATTATATGGATGACATCCTCTGGGAACCCCAAAACTGATGCGCGCGTGCGAATAAAAAAAAAATGTTTTGCAAAAAAAAAAAGTTGCTTTCACTATGAAATCTACGTGGTCAAGAAGGTGGAACAAATGGCACAGAATATGTTATGGCGAATAATCTACTCTTCGAATTCATTTCTTAACATTTTTGTCCTTTTTCCTTTGATTTTGGCATTCTACGACATTTGTATCGTTTCTAAATGTTTTCCTTGCAACTTATGGTATATTATTGCTCATTTAGCAACTGTTTTGCACGATTTACAGTATGGTTGAAAACTTTTTTTTTTTTTTTGGAAACGGCCGAAAATTCATGCGCGTGCGGATGTCATCCATATAATCAAATCAACATGGCCTTACATATGGTTTCAAACGATGACACTTGGTAGGTCGATCTGAAGTACTCTCCAAGCAGAGGTTTGGGTTTTGGGGGTATTTTTAGCGTGAGTTTAGGCTTTTTTTATCGGGATTTCTCTTTTGCACTAATTTTTTCCCACCAAACCCAACTTTGGTGGAAAAAAAATTTAGTGAAAAAGAGAAAACCCGATAAAAATTCCTAAACTCGCGCTAAAAATACCCCCAAAATCCAAACCTCTGCTTGGAGAGTAGAGCTAAAGCGACCTGTGCCCGGTGTGACGGCGGCCATTTTTAATCACCGTCAACCGCCGCAGGCATCTGGGAGGTTTGTGTCATCTGACCTTTACAATTTGTCAAGGACAAACGCCGAAGGCATCAAAAAGCGTGTCCCGGCCTGATCTAGTCTTCTAGACACTATCTAAGGCCATTTTTACACTGATTCCGCGAGCTTAGTGTAAAATAGAAGTACCGTACGGTACCCAGTTGGACTTAGACACAAGATGATTAAAATACCACATGCTTTAAGATAGCACCTTTTTTATTTTGCCCCAGTAAGCACTCCATGAAATATACTAAAGCAAGAACAGCGGTATCATAGAGAGAGTTTATTGACACAACAAAAGTACAGCGACTTTTGAAAGGTCTAAAATACATGTAGACATAGATAAATACATGGTTACAGCGAAATTAACCTACGTCCAAGACAATAGATGAGTCAACTTATACTAATTGTTCTAAGGTCTAAACATACTTTGATATATTTACCTATTTGTACACAGTAAGGGTTATTGCCTTCTATGATAAAATTGAATTTATCTATAGCATGAAATGTAACACAATCTGTTGAGCAAGCGGAGAAAAGGTTAAACAGCTTTGTGACTTTATTGTTGCATAGTGAACAATCTATAATAAAATCTTGTTCGTCTGCAATATCATAGGGACAGAATGGACAAAACCTCTGGTCGCGGTTTTTTTTAATCTTCATGAACCATTTCCGGATCTATTACAAAAAAGACCATGTCACATACGCCTTTTTGTTCCAAGGTAGTTAATACCTTTTATAGATTGGAAAATCTGTGCTGCAAAATGAATAAAACATTGCCATCGGGCATCGTCAAGTGTCAGCCCCCATGTTATTGTTGCCACAGTTTTGCCAATACAACATTGCAAGGTTGCCAACATGCAATTTTGTATATGCCTTTGGTTTGGGTGCAGACTGAAGTCCGGAACTGAACTTAAACCTCTGGACTTGAATCAGGACATGAACCTAAATGGGGGTGTAGGTACACAGCACTTGTTTCAGGCCTACTCAGCTCCATGGCCTAAGAATTTGGCGAACTCCGTGATGCTGACTTTGCCGTCCTTGTTGATGTCGGCGAGGTCGATGGCGGCCTGCACCGTGGCGTCATCACCCCCCGTACCGAACTCATGCATCACGGCTTTCAACTCGTCAGGCTCGATAAAGCCATTTCCATCCTATCAGAGCACAGTTAACGTGTGTTAACATGTGATGAGTGTATCGCCACAGACTGGACGGTTAAACTGACATGCATAGCATATACCGAAGTGCGATTCCAAACTTCTTATAATATTTAACGCCACACCAATTTAATTTGTTGGTTCTCAGATTTTTGTCAGAAAAAAAAGAAGCGACAGTGCGAAAAAAATGTTAAAAATAAAAACAGTTCTAGTCATCCTATTACAGCCCTTCTGTTCTTCTCTGGCAACCGGATGTAAAAAGAAGGAGGGGACGTCCGTGCCTAACGCTAAAGAAACTGATCGAGGAAGAGGTAGGACTACGGAATGAGGAACTTCTGTCCGCCATGCGTGACAGAGTCGTGTGGAGATACATTGTGAATGGCACCTCGAAAGAGGATGACCTGAACTGAGCTGAACTATTACAGCCCCAAATGCTACAATATGCCATGAAGTCAATTCAAAAACACAAAAGGCTGATTTAATATTTAAACAAAGAATGTTGAACTTTTAGTCAAACCACTGCATTGATAGATGTAACAACTAGGAAGAAAATGACTTTTCTTAACTGTCGGAGGCAAACTATGAGCATTTTTTAAGTTATTCTGAACCATTTTTTTGCAAATCACAAAAAAGAAGAGGCAAATCCGAGAACCAACAAAGGAAATTGATGTAGCCTAATGTATTGGGGATAGCAAACATATAACATATAAAGAGTCAATGTGAATCAGTCAGAAAGTTGAAAAGGATTTGAATAGGTACCACTAGCTTCCACTGTCTTACCTTGTCAAAGTGAGTAAAGGTGTCAAGGACTTCTTCTCTTTTAGCAGCTTTAATGGCCTCCAGGTCAGTAACCAGGGCTGTGAACTCAGCCAGCTCTAGAAACCCATTTTTGGGAGGCTTGTCGTACCGATCTATGATCGCCTGGGGCGAAGGAAAAGGAACCAGTGTTTAATTGGACGTCAATCATTATCTTAGGTTATCTGACACCACAGACTGTTGCTATATCCAACCTTTGTGTATTATCTACATTACGTTGAAGTGGACAGAAGTATATTATATGCTACCAAATACTACATGTGTTAAAAGGCCTAAGTTCTCCATCTAGCTCTAATTGGCGGATGTGTTTCTGCGAATGAGATATAGGAGGTTAACACGTAATCTTATTTTTAAAATAACTTTGTTAGCATTAGCATTTTTAATGTATTGGGGTGGTGGGACTACGGCGCACTGGTATGTCAACTTTGTGTTTCAGCATTGTGTAAATATTAGTTGACGTGTACTTTTTTGTTGAGTTGCGCTGTTAAAATAAGTTGTAAACTTGAGTGCAGCGTCACACTGTCCTTGTTATGTTTTGATGAATAAAAAAAAGTATGTTATATCAGAGGGTTACCTGAACCAGAGCTCCACTGGCTGTCACCTCCAACTCCTTCAGCGCCTCAGCCAGCTCTGTGTTGCTCATTTTGCCGTCATGGTTGACGTCATGCTTCTTGAAAACCGCTTCAGCCATGTCGTCCTGCCACGGGTAGAAGAAATAGTAACGCTTCCTCTGCAAAGAATGAATCCCTCCCACAAATCATGGCAACCACTGAGACTGGCAATGAAAAAAAGATTACACCTTGCCATGGTCGACGGTGGTTGCTGTTAGGGTCATTGTTTGCATTGCACTGCCATGATTTCATGATATTGAGGAAGCCTTGTACCATATCCTCCCGAGTGTATAGTGATGTTGGGGGAACTCACAGTCCCATGGGAAGATAATGTAGAGGAAGCCTATGAGAGGAAACTAACAAAGTATGGAGAGCTGCTAGCAGTCTGCAGGGACAGAGGATGGAAGGCAGCGTGTTACCCAGTCGAGGTTGGATGCAGGGGTTTCGTGGCCTCATCTCTGCAGAAGTGGCTAAGACAGTTGGGATTCATCAGGAGAGAGGTTAAGTCCATCTCAAAATCAGCAGCAGAAGCAGCAGAAACGGGGTCCCCATGGATTTGGAACAAGTACTTGGAGAGACGGAATGCGGAACGACCCCGCTGTTAGAACTTTGTGATACAGAACCGTGTTCTATGCAAATAGAACCGCGTTCTTTTGAGAACTGGCAGTTAGTTTTTAATTGTTTTCAAGTGCTCACCAGTGGGAGGTGGTGCTGAGCGCTGCTGGCCCACCACCCTGAGGAAATACTGATTTAAAGGGCCGAAATTTCCATTGAAGGGTGGAATCAGCTGAGGATCCCACTGGTGAGGCCACGAGACTTTTATAGTCTTTGTGTGTATTTTTAAACTGAACATGCCCTGATGTCATAGACGGGAAAGTAGGACACCTACTTTGAAAGTAGGGCACCTACTTTCCCATCTGGGGCAGACCGGTTTCCCATCTGGGGCACACAGGTTTTCCAAGGGTTACCAGGAATGTGGGCATGTCAACAAACAGAGCTGGGAGACATTCCTGTGGACATTCCATAACTGAGGACAAAACCCATGTACGATTCCTAGAATTCTTGCAAATTGTAGACAGTACTGTATTATTAGGCTCCTCCCTGAGACATCGCCAAAATACTAATGTATATAGGTTGGATTTTTCTTCTGCAAAGATTTTCCTTTTACTATCTAGGCTCTGTGAATGCTTTTTGGTGAGGATAATATCTAAAAACTCTTTTTAGCAATTAGTACACCGGGTTTTTTTTTTTACAAATAAGAGAAGTTTGACTTTTCAACAATGTTAAACCAACTGGACTGTCCTGTATTGATAAAGGTACAATGACGAACTGGTTACGGTTGTTGTGACGTATTAGGGCTGTTTGTAGTATTTCACAGAGTTATAACTCACCTTTGTTCGGTTGGATCTTGTGTCAGCCGTTCAGAAGACGATCTCTCGGTAAGTGCCAACCGTGAGAAAAAGAGGTTTATTTTGGTGGTCAGATGACTTGACGTGGTTGAACCACTTTGGGCATGTTGAGATTCATCTTTTGTTTTAAAGCGTCACCACTCTTCCTTTTAATATCTACCTGTTTGTAACAGATATATGTATGTATAATAATACATTTACATGTACATGTGGTATATGCCTTTCTGTTGGTTTGTCCAAGACCGTTCATTTTGGCATATGTGCTCACGTGCCTTACAGATACATGCAAGCGTTGAAACTCTTTAATGTATTGGGTATGCCTAAACATGGCACGTGTGTGTGCAACGTGCTTATTATTAATTCCCTGTTGTACCAAGGGTCAAACGGGAAATGATATGTTTTAGTCAAACAAATAATATAACTGCATATAACGTCCTCATAAACGACTCAATTTGTACAAGACTAAGGCACAGTTACATTTATTTAACATTTTATCATATTTGTCCCAGGGAGGCAATGTTTTTATCATATTTGTCCTAGAAAACGCCAAATATACATTAATTTTGTAATGACTAATGTTTTTTTAATGTTATGACGGTACAATGTAAGTTACTGAATTTCATTGTGACAAACATATACACCACAATGTGTGAGTTACACTTTGACTACGGTTACAGACTCCGCATCAGAAACATATTACTAAATTGATGCATGTATATAATTATTGATACTAGGATATTATTTTACGTTTGACAATATAAAAACGGCACAAACTACGGGAGACACGTAACGTGTTAGGTCGAGCAGATGTAACGCGCACCCAAGGTCTCATCAGGCGGCCTTTGTCCCATTGTATGGCGTGGGAAAGTCGGTCGTGTTATATAAGTTTTCTCCTAAGGCCACATCGCCTTAATTTTACGGATGACATCCCCGCGTGCATTGATTTTTGCCTGTTCTCAAAAAAAAACAAACAAAAAAAGATCACGTCCTCTGGCTTGGCTCTAGACCCGGGTAGTGCACGGTAGTTAGCGACAATACGGAGCAGGTTGTAACTCTGGAGGACGGCACCCAGGCTACCGAAGTTTTACTTACAATGCCGATTCATGAATTACGCAAAAAGCCAGCATGTGCCGGCTTGTCGTATATGTCGCCATGTATTACAGCAAATTCACAATACCAGCTTTGTATTCCTGTGGTTTAGTAGCATTTTTATTTTTGGCCGGAATGTCTTCTTAATTCGCCCGTGCGCACTAGATTGTTGGGGGTCTTCAGAGGATGTCATTCACAAAATTAAGTCGGTGTGGCCCAAGGTACGCACGAGATAATTAAGCATGGCACATCATTGTTGTTGTTGTTGTTGTTGTTGTTGACTGCACCTGCAGTGTCATGTGTGGAAATGTTAGGCGGTATGATCAAGATGCTTTCTCCAGTATTACAAACGAAATCTCCCCTGTCCGGTGATGACATTTTTATTAGAGAATGAGCGGGGAAATTAATCCACACAGCAGAGCCTTGGTGGTTTTGATTTTTGGCTATGCCTCAGTAGTGGGGCCATATTTTTGCAAGCGAGATGATATCGTATCAATATGAACTGTATTACCCATAGACCACCCGAGTCAATTAGAAACCGACAGGGGATCCTGAAAAGCAGATACTTGTTTTTAAACCAAACTATTCTAAAGCAAGGTCCATGCCAAGTTTTATAGTATCCAGAAGTTTGTTTCTGAATGTATATTATGTAAATGATTATGTTGCTTTTATTCCCAAATACATACGTCACAAGTGTTCCATATACCCTATTGTGGAATGCAACAGGTTTATAGACGTTTCTCATTATTTTTGTAACTTAGCTCTAAAATCCCATAATTATCATCTGATTTTAAGCTGGTGTGTTACGCCAAAGGTTAGTTATACCGGCTATACCGATACAGATAATTATCTCAAGCATCATCTAAGCTACATGCGGACTAAAGTCATGACAATCCGTTAGCCGGTTCTTGAGTTGTCCTCCCTGGAAGATTTTTAAAGACACCGCCCTGCAGTTCCACAACAAGCTGATAGTCGGCATAAACTAACGCGCCTTCTTCCCGAGCACAAGAGTTATCTACCATCTAAAACTCATGACCCTGGCATGTCTAGATCACGAGATATCAAAACCGGAAGTTCTGCTGCATTACCTAAGAAATCCACCAGGGGGCACAAAGGGGCTCCTTAAGTTGTCGTGCTAAACCACACACACACACACATTAACACACACACACACACACACACACACACACACACACACACACACACACACACACACACACACACATACATACATACAGACGCTCCTGAAAACATAACCATCTCGGCGAAAGTGAATAAGTACAAAGTCAAATAAGACAAATTGTAAAACAATGTTTTGTACAGTTTTTAAGGCCAGTGCTTTAAGGCCCGCAAGATAGTTTTTCCACAGCCTTATAGCGCAGTGGGCAAAATATTGCCTCAGTCTTGCCGACTCTTGCGGATAGTGGAATGTACAAAGACTTAGTACGAAATTTACATTAACAAATCTAACACAAGAAGCAGACGTCTCTTTTTTGTCGAAAAACCTTTGTCGTTTTTAGTCTAGGAGCCAAGTTTACAAAATATATTTTCCACCTCCAACAGACTGCCAGGCGATACCCCCCTCCTTTACCCTGTGTAAAGGCCTGGAGTACCCGATGATGACTCTCCCCAACCCGCTTCATCACAATAACGTCACGGAGATCCAGCGAGCCGCGGAGTTCAATGACCTCAAGCAGCTCTCCCTGTCCAACTGCCATCCGCAGGTCAAGTCATTCGTCTGCTCAGTCCTCCTGCCGAACTGCAACCAAAGGTAACTCTTGTATCCAGAACCGTGCTTTATCCAGAACCGCGCTCAGGTACGGTTCTGGATAGTCTGGCGTATCCAGAACCGTGCTTTATCTAGAACCGCGCTCATGTACGGTTCTGGATAGTCTAATCGTATCCAGAACCGTGCTTTATCCAGAACCATGCTCAGGTACGGTTCTGGATAGTCTAATCGTATCCAGAACCGTGCTTTATCTAGAACCGCGCTTAGGTACGGTTCTGGATAGTCTAATTGTATCCAGAACCGTGCTTTATCCAGAACTGCGCTTAGGTACGGTTCTGGATAGTCCACTCGTATCCAGAACCGTGCCTAGGGATGTCTAAGCTTTTGGATACGCAGACACTATCCAGAACCGTGTCTGATCCTAACCCCAACCCATTGCAGAACTAGATACAGATACAATAGTGACGCATATATATGCCGACACACTAGCTACAACGGAGACAGTATAACTCCTTATTGTACTGCATTACCCTTGTGTAAGTACACTGCTTGCCCAATAAAATGCATAATAATGTAGGTGTAGGAAAGTATATCAATTGTAACATCACGTCAAAGATTTTTTTATTCGACAGACAATATAATAACACGTTTATAGAGCCACCATCGTCATATTATCTGTGTGTAATTTCTACTGACCATAGCTTAGAGCATTTTTTATTTTTCTTTCCTTCAAAAAGTATGATACAGCTATTTCCTAATGGCTGTGTTTTATCTTTCCTAGTTCCAATAGACAACTTCTTCCCTGTCGGTCATGGTGTGAAGAAGTAAAGTATACGTGCAACAAGGAAAGCAGTTGGTCGTCGTTCCCTAATTGTAGTATCCTTCCTGACAAGGACTGTTATAACGTCAAAGCATCACTGGCAAAGGATGGCGGTGAGTTGAATTATCGCAGAACCAATATACAGAACTGTTTTCCACACTTTTCTTCACTCTTTTAGACTTTCTTTTCTTATTATTTACACATATACTCCGTAGGCAGTAAGCAGGTATATACTCCATTTATTATTTTACACAAAAAAGAAAGCATAATAATTATACTTCAAAATTTATACGTGCCTGTATTTTATTTGGAAAACGGTCAATGTGCATCTATTGTAGAGGTGGAGGAATATCGAACTGTATTCGAAGTCTATTGTACCCACCCGGTGACATCATTCCATAAATGTATCTTTGTGCATCTGCAAAAATACAAAGCTATTTTATTCCAACGGTATTCTGGCTAATTCCAGTGAGATCAGGGTTTCCAAAACGTAACGCGAAATTTGACAGTTATTTGTTCTTGCTATCTTAGCAGAATTACTGTTGATTCAGAATATCAGTACTTTATTTCGGAGTGTTTATTTTATTTCCAGAGACGGAGTGTTTTCACGGTAACGGTGCCAACTACAGAGGTGTTGAGAACCACGGCATCTCCGGGGCTGCGTGTTTGAGG